ATTCTTCTTCATATAATCCAGTTTCTCAGATTATTTGCTCAATGTATAGATTGAATAAGTATGGTGGTGAAAGGATATGACCCTGCATACACCTTTCCTGATTTCCATTCAGTATCCGCTTGTTCTATTCGAACAAGGTCTGTATATAGGTACCTCATGAGTACAATCATGAGTAATAACCATCCTTTGCAGTTTTATCCATAGTTTGCTATTAGCCACACAATTGTATGCCTTTGCAGTCAATAAAGCACAAGCAAACATCTTTCTGGTATTCTCTGCTTTCAGCCAAGATCCGTCTATCTGATGTCACAATGATAGTCCTCATTCCGCATCTTCTTCTGAATTCAGCTTGAATTTCTGGCCACTCCCTGTCAATGTACTGCCGCAACCCTTTTAAAAAAATTGTCTTCAGAAATTTACTTGCTTGTGATATTATTAATGATATTGTTTGACGAATCCCACATTCTGTTGGGTCACCTTTCTTTGGAATGGGCACAAATATGGATCTCTTTCAATCTCTTCCTGGTAGCCATCTTCCAAATTTCTTGGCATAGACTACAGAGTGCCTACAGTGCTGCGTCAGTTTGGTAAAACAGTTCCATCAACTTCTGGAGCCTTATTTTTTATTTTCAACAATTAACAATTTAATGACTATTCAGATTTTGCAAAGAAATCAATACATAAATGAATAAGTAGATAAGTGGATACAGATAGCTACATAGAAGGAAGGCCTACTGTGTGCATGACTCTTGCATGTCTTGAAGCTCCAAAAATGAATAAAGCACTGTCTGTGTTTAAAGTTGCAGGATAAGCACTCAACTATGAATCTGATAAGGTTTGCAGCAAACCCACCAGCCACTTCTTTTTTTGTAAGTTTTTATTGTGAATTATGTGATTGTTTATATGGGAGAACACCAGCTTTACATTCATCCTATCGTATTTTGTTTCACTGCAATGATTACAATCCCCTCCATGCATCACCAAACAACCAAAGGGTACACCCCACAAGCCTACCCCTCAGCCGTCAGCACACAGCCCCTCTCCCTCCCTGAGTCCAGAGTCCTCAGCTGCTCCATCTCTCCATGTCATTGTCTCTGCCTCCATCTTTGGTGTCACTGCTTCTCTGGGTAGGGTCCCGCACTCCACTCGTCTCCCTTGATGGTCCCAGGGACCTCTGCTCCTGGACTGCAAAGTCAATGATGCCCCTCCTTTTGCTACAGAATGTCTACCTTTACATTTCCAACCCTCACAGTCTGTCCTGATAGCAATTATTCACTATTGTACCACAAGATTCTTATCCCCATCTCCTTTCATCTCTCCCACCTCCAACACATTGGAAACGACTTAGTAGAGGTTCTACCTTCCCTTGTACTCTGGAACTAGGCTCCGTCTTGAAAGTTTGTAAGCCAGTCACTTCTTGCCTTTGTAGCTCTCTCCCCCCTCCCCCCCATTTTGGGTATCCAATGTCTAAGTTGCCCTTCCTGTCAACCCTGTGTACCGAGCGAGGGGTTGGGAATGATACTCACTGTAAAGATATGTTCCCTTTTTTGTGCTACTCATCCATAAGTATAGGTCAAGTTCATCAAATTGCAGCAGATAACTTTTTTTTTTTTAACTCTTCTTTCTTCTTCTAGTTGAGTTCTGATCATCCAGCCATTGAAATTGAAGCCAGATCAAGTGGGTACTATCTGCAAGTATGGGTGTTCTTGTGCATCTCCCCTCATTTCATATGAGCTGGACACTTCACTATCTGCTCTAGTCCTCTGTGGCTATGTCACTGTCTCTGGGCCCAGAAGTCCCCAGGTCTTGCCATACTGCTGGCCAACCAGATCTCCCCCCGAGTTCACAGGAGTCTATTGAACATGGTCGGACTTAGCTCACAACTTCATTGCTGTTTTCCCCCCACTTCTCCTTATCGGCGACTAACGTGGTCACCAGTGAGACCACATGCCTGCTCATGTATTCCCCTTGAGTAGTCTTGGAAGGGTGGAGCTTTATTTTTTGCTAATACCTTCAGAACCAGTGGTTATTCACCATATGCTACTTCTTGAAATACTTGAACATCCACCAATTCCTTTGGTATAGTAACTTTATGTATTCCTTCCATATTTTTTTTGATGATTCGGTGCCTTTCAGTATTTTGTCCATAGAATCCTTCAATATTGCAATCCAAGACTTGAATATTTTCTTCGGTTATTTCAGCTTGAGAAATGCTAAGCATGTTCCTCCCTTTTGGTTTTCTAACTCTAGGTCTTTGTGCATTTCATTATAATACTTTATCTTCTCCAGCTGCCCCTTGACATTTTCTGTGCACCTGTTTTTCTTCCTAATTTCTTGCATTCTCTTCAGGCTCAAAAGCAAGCCTTAGAGTTTTCTAACATTTCTGTTTGTCTTTTTTTCCCCTTTCCTGTCTTTTTAGTGACCTTTTGTTTTCTTCATGTATGATGCTCTTGGTGTCATCCCACAACTCTTCTGGTTTTCAGTCATTAGTTTAATGCATCAAATCTGTCCTTCAGGTGGTTTCTAAATATAGGTGGGCTACATTCAAGGTCATATTTTACTTTCATGGAGTTGTTCTAGTTTTCTTCAGCTTTAGCCTGAACTTGCATATGAGCAATTGATGGTCTATACCACAATTGGCTTCTGGTCTTGTTTTGACTGATGTTATTAAGCTACTCCATCATCGTTTTCCACAAATGTAGTCAATTTGATAACTGTGTATTCCATTGGTGAGGTCCATGTGTATAGTCACCTTTTGTGTTGTTGAGAGAAAAGGTATTTGCAACGAATAAATCACTAATCTTGCAAAATTCTGTCATTGTTCTCCAGCATCATTTGTATCACCAAACCATATTTTCCAACTGCTGATCCATTCTGCTTGTTTCCAACTTTCACATTCCAATTACCAATAATTATCAGAACTCTTGTTTGCATGCTTGATCAGTTTCATACTGAAGAAGTTGGTAGAATTCTTCAATTTTATCATCACTGACTTAAGTGATTGGTGTGTAAATTTGAATAATAGCGGTATTAACTGTCTTTGATAGGAATTCTGACTCATAGGAACTCTATATAGGATTTCTGAGGAGTGGCTGGTGGGTTTTTAAACCACCAGCTTTGTGCTTAGCAGTCCAGTGCTTATCAGTCACTTTCTACCTTTCAGCTAGGTTTGATAATTCATTGTAATGGTTAACTTAGACACCATACTATGATAATGAGTTTTTTTAGGGACATTAACAGGTTATAGCTCAGGATTAGACATGCTCAGGGCAGTTCTTTCGATCAGGACAGATGTCTCTTGGGTATGCCAGCAGGCAGGCAGCTCTGTGGCCCTCGGCCCCTTGGCCTGGCATCTGTCCTGCTCCAGCAATGCTACAGAACTCTTTTAGGACTGCTGATAAATGCTCACAGGGCATACCACCCCACTATAAGTCTCAGGTTGGAGGCCCTCGGCTCTAGCTTTGTGGGTCAGCAAACCTAGCTCCCCTAATTTAGTGCCTGGAGACATCCCACTCCACAAGTGAGCCTCCTGCCCACAGGCACTCAGCTTTACTCACTCCATGGCTAGGAAGCTCACCACTCTCTTGTGCCCTAACCCTTGGTTTTGTGCCTGCTACTTCTCTGATGCTTCTTTGGTGTCACAGCTTTCTGTCCTTGGATTGAGGAGGTTCAATGCACTGGGATATCTAGGTCCAAAGGATCCACTGAACTTCTGGCTCTTCTTTCTTGTTGGTAGTGTGATTTCCCCATCATGCTTTTGAGATGGCTCATTTTATATCCTGCTGCTGCTATTGCTGTGTGCTGTTGAGTTGGTTCTGACTCATAGCAACTCTGTGTAGGTTTTCTGAGGCTATAAATCTCTGAGGGAGCAGAAAGCCTTGTTTTCCACCCACAGAGTGGCTAGTGGATTCAAACTGCTGACCTGGTGGTTATCAGCCTAGTGTATAACCCACTGTGCTATCAGGGCTCTTTTTATTACCCAGCAGGATGGCAAAATTGACCAATCACAGTTAACCCTGTTAACCATCACTCACAACTGAATCATAGAATCCGTCAGCATCTTCCCCCACCTTTTCTGACCAAGACCCATCAGGAAAAAGTCTTCTTAGCATTACAAAGACTATGGCTAGAAGAGACCTATTCAATATCCCAGTGTTCTCAGTACCACAGCAGCACACAAACCTGCTTTGACAGGCTGCTGGTAGCGGAGCCTGAGGCCACTGGTATGATCCGTAACCATTAGTCTCTGCAGTTTCAAGTGTTTGAATCTCACAGGGAGGTAGGCAGGGTGAGTTAATAATTCAAAGCCAGCAGGACCTAGTGTTAAGTATAGTCATGGAACTAGTATCTGAGGCTGTGGAGAGGACCTCAAGTTTGTTTGTTTTATGGTAAAATACACAAGTAAATATCTTTCTGGTATTCTCTGCTTTCAGCCAAGAGCCATCTGATGTTAGCAATGATATCCGTTGTCCCATGTCCGCTTCTGAATCCGATTTAAATTCCTGGTAGCTCCCTGTCTATATACTGCTGCAACCCTTTTTAAAAAAATTGTCTTCAGCAGAATTTTACCATTTATTTAAAAGAAATTATAGAAGTTTATTGTGATAAATCAAATATAATAAAGCACTTGTCATTTCAACATTTTTTTCCTGTGTTTAGTGAAATTAATTATGTTCATCTGATTATGCAAGCATCACCATCCATTTTCATATGAGGAGGCTGGATCATGGTATTTTCCCATCATCCTTTACCCAAACAGTTGCCCCTACATTTAAACTATTTTAAGTGTTTGATTCTGCGGTCTCTAGTACATTCGCAGTGTTGTCCAACCAGAACATTTTCATCTCCAAAGGAAACCCTTATTCTCCATGTCTTCCTCCAGTTCCAAGAGAGCTGGGCTGTTTTCCTGTTGGCTCTTTCTCACGTGTTCATGTCTGTTTTAAAAATTCTCTTATTTCAACACTCAGTTAAACGGGTTTTGTTTGTCCCCTGTTTTGTAGCATCTATGTCATGGGCCTGGTTCTGGAGTGGATTAAGAACAATGGTGGCGCAGCAGCCATGGAGAAACTCAGCATCGTCAAATCTCAAATGATTTACGACATCATCGATAACTCTCAAGGGTTCTATGTGTAAGTCGACGGATTTTTATCTCACATTTTGTCTCTTGTGAATATTGTTGTTAAGTGCCATCAAGTCAGTTCCAACTCATAACAACCCTATGGAGAGTGTCTAAGGAGTAGCTGGTGGGTTTGAACTGCAGACCTTGTGGTTAATATTCCAGTGCTGATCCTACAGCACTACACCAGGACTGAAGTTATGTTATATGTATGTACTGTGTACTTTTATAGAAGTGGGCACATTTCCTTTTTCCCTGAGACAGTGAAGTGCTTGTGAGCTTGGATGCTCCCTGGGCCCCCTGAGTATGAGGAGTGAGCTCTTCTTTGTGTCCCCACCCCCACAGTGCCCCGCTTTGGAACCTGTCTTTCTGGGAACCTGTCTGTCATATCCCGTGTTTTCCTTGGGAAGCACTGGGTTGGACCTTTCTCTCACTCTGTCCTCCCTCTGTTTGCCACTTGAGAAAAAAGCATGCCTCCTTGCTGGAAGCTCTCAACTTGTTCCCACAGGCAACACTTGGTATGAATACGCTCCTGGTCACCTTCTCAAGGTTAAGAAATTTCTCGGCGTCGCTTAATACAGCCCAAACATTCCCAACCCAGGCCTACTGTCTATGAATAGGATTGGCTGTAGGATGAGTAATTGAGCCCTAGTTAAATATTTTTGTGACTAAATGATGAATGAATAGGTAGTGACAACAGGGTCAGAGGGGCATAGGAAATGTATGGACTTTGTATTGTTTTCATTGGGCTGTGGTAACAAAAGACCACAAATTGAGTGACCTAATTTTTGTCTCTCACAGTTCTGTAGACCAGAAGTCCAAAAGGAAGGGGCCAGCACGGCTCTGCTCCTTCCAGAGACTCTAGGGCAGAATCCTTCTGTATCTCTTTCAATTTCTGGTGGTTTCTTAGCTTGTGGCTGCATCACTCCAGTATCTGCCTCTTCTTCAGGTGGTCTTATCATTGTGTGTGTCTTCTTCTACCTGTTAGAATGGCATTTACCATTGGATTTAGGGGCTTCCTCATAATTTTGGGTGATATTGCCTCAAGATCCTTACCTTAATTTCATTCCCAAAGATCCTTATTCCAAATAAATTTATATGCACAGATTCCATAGCCTAGAACTTGGACACATCTTTTGGGGGTTTTCATTTAATGCATCTATGCCAAGAATTTTGGAAGACAGTTAGCTGGTCAACCAATTGGATGAGATCCATACGTGCACACATTCTAAAGAGTGGTGACCCAATGGAATGTGGAAATCATCAGATAATATCATGTGCAAGTAAAATTTTGCTAAAGATAATTACAGTAGTACATTGACAGGGAACTGCCAGAGGTTCAAGCTGGATTCTGATGAGGATGTGAAATGAAGGATATCGTTGTTAATGTCAGATTGATCTTGGCTGAAAGCAGAGAATACCAGAAAGATGTTTACTTGTGCTTTATTGACTACGGGCTTTTGACTGTGTGGATCATGACAAGGTATGGATAACATTGCAAAGAATGGGTATTACAGAACACTTGATTGTGCTCATGAGGAACCTGTACCTAGATGAAGAGACAGTCATTCAGACAGAACAAGGGGACACTGAATGGTTTAAAATTGGAAAGGTGTATGTCAGGGCTGTATTCTTTCATCATACGTATTCAATTTGTATGCTGAGCAAATATCTGCAAAGCTGGATGATATAAAGAAGAATGTGGCATCAGGATTGGATGCCTGTGATATGCAGATTATACAACCTTGCTTGCTGAAAACAAACAGGACTTAAAATACTTACTGATAAAGATCAAAGACCACAGTCTTCAGTATAGGTTGCATCTCAATGTAAAGAAAACAAAAATCCTCACCATTGGGTCAATATATAATAACATCATGACTTAATGGAGAAAGATGAAGTTGTCAAAGATTTCATTTTGCTTGGATTCACTATTAACACTCATGTAAGCAGCAGTCAAAAAATCAAAAGACATATTGCTTTAGACAAATCTGCTACATAGATTTCTTTAAATTTCTTTAAACATAGTCTGAGGACTAACGTGCACCTGACCCAAGCCATAGTATTTTTAATAGCCTCTTATGCATGTGAAGGTTGGACAGTGAATAAGGAAGACAGTAGAAGAATCAATGCATTTGAGTTCTATTCGGAGGAGAGTATTAAAAGTATCATAGACTGCCAGAAGAACAAACTTACTTCTTGTAAGAAGTACAGTCCAACGTTCTTTAGAGTGAGGATGACAAGACTTCATCTTTCATACTTTGGACATATTATCAGGAGGGACTAGTCCCTGGAGAAGGACATTATGTTTGGTAAAATGCAGGGTCAGCAAAGAAGAGGAAGACCTCCAATGAGATGGATTGATGCAGTAGCAGCAGCAGTGGGTTCAAGTGTAACCATTGTGAGAATGGCGCAGGACTGGGCAGTGTTTCATTCTGTTCTGCATAGGGTTTCTGTGAGTCGGAACTGACTCAATGGCACCTAACAACTCACAATACGTCTTTCACCAAAATGCCGTGTGTGAAATAACTAAGGAGAAGATCTGGCACACAGAGAAACTGTAAATATCTTCAAGTGCTTTGCCTTCAAAGTAGGCATAGGTATACAAACTTTCCATTACGTGTGTATATGTGCACACATGTACCTGTGCATGAATATGTGCGTGTTTTAAACATGTGCTTCATCTGCACACATAAACATTTATGCTCAGTTATCAACACCACCTCCTTCTTAGCAGTTTTAACTTTTGGGGATTCAATTTTGTTGTAACTAACAAAACAGAAAAAAAAAAACAAAAACAAAATCTGGTTGAGAATACTCTAAAGATTTGTCTGATCTTTGAGAAATCAGTGAGCCTTGTGGGGAAAAGAAGAAATGCTGCTGCAACCTTAGCTTAGAATTGTGTTTTTTAATCAAGACCTCCGAATGCGTCAGCAGAACCACCCATGAGCGTCAAGGGTGTATTGTGTGGACTCTTAGCAGCCTGTTGATGCCACCTCTGCCCTCAAATGTTTGTTGCCCACTCCTGTGACTTGTTGGCATGGTGACCTGGCCACATGCCCTGAAGGAGCCAGGCTTGGTTGGACATGTTGGCCTTGGGGCTCCTCTCTCAGAGAGCCCTGTGCCATTTGGGGGAGGGTGCATATGTGCATTTTGCCTACTCTGCAGTTCTGTGCAGCATAGAGGGAAGTGCAGGCTGAGGTCTTGATCCTGGAGAAATTTCTGCTCTAGTCCCTGGTGTCTGGGTGGGGAAGCCAGGGACCTTGCCTTGCTTACTGGGGCCATTTAAAAGAAACCCCCCCCAAAAATCTTTTGACTGTGATTTGAGTGTAGGTTTTCAGAGCAGATCACTTTCCCATTCAACAATTCGTACGCATTCTGTTTCATATCATTGATAGCAACTCCCTCCGTGTACTATCATTTGTCCCTCTTCCTCCCTGTGTTTCCTATTTCCATTCCTGCCTTCTTTCTTAACCCTTTTGAACTTAGACCTTGGATAAATGTTGCCCTTTTGATCGCAAATGGTTGATTATTTTAAGGTGTGTGCCTTCCTGGTGTTATTGTTCTCAGAAGCCACTACTGAGTTTGGCTGAAATTTGAATCACGGGGATGAATTCATTTCCAAACATGAAGAGTGGCTAGGGGTCATAGTCTCGGGGGTTCTACAAGTTTTTATCAAAAAGACCAGTAAGCCTGGTCTTTTTAACGATTTTGAGTTTTGTTCTATATTTTTTCTTACTCTAGCCAGGACCTTCTAATGTGATTCCTTTTAGAAATGTTGGCAGTGGTGGCCGATAACTGATAGTGATCAGTTTCTTCTGGTCTCAGAGTTGTGGAGACATGCTCACCTGTTCCATTTGGCCATTGGAATGTTGTTTCCATGTGTCTTCAATTTTCCTCATTCTTTTTACCTCTAAAAGGAAGAGAGCAGCCGTTGTACATTTAGATAGCTGCTCGTAAGCACATTTTAAGACCCCAGTTGCTACTCACCAAAATTGGATGTAGAACATTGTCTTTATGGACTATGTTATGCCAGTTGATCTTAGTGTGCCCTGAGCCTATGGTCTTGAGCCTCTAGTGGAGCCATCGTAACATGCAGAATTAGCAGCAGACTGTAGAAGCCTCTCGTTGTCAAAGCCTAAGGAATGTGGCATGAGCTTGGAGCAGGGAGAACTCTTCTTAACTACAGGATAAGGCTGGATGAGTCAAGGCCTGGGTTTGAGAAGAGGGCAGAAGTACTTTCAGGTACTTTTAGCAAGGTGGAGAATGGAACTCACAAAGGCACAGTGTTTAGGGAACAGAGTGAGTGGGCTTCCTGGAGGGGATGGCTTGTGGAATTAGAAGGAAGTTTGGGAAGGTCTGAGGACCTGTTTAGTCCTTATTCATCCATTCACCCATCCTTTCATCCATCCAGTCAGTGTCTCCCAAGCACTCTGTACCAGCCTTGTCCTCGGCTTCGGGCATACATGGAAGAGTAAGCCATCTGCCCTGACTCCCAAAATGCTGAGAACCTGCCAGAGTGGAAGCATGCAGGCTGTTGTGGAGTGGAGACCAAAGTTTTCTATTAACTTCGGGTTCTCTGTATTTCTTGGGAAAGGTGTAGGCACAAAACCAGAGGAGAGCAAGAATGATGCCAACTCTGGAAAATATCCAGGGAATTAAAAACAAAATAAAGCGTAGAAGGAACACGGGAATCCCATGAATGAGCACCCAACCTGGTCATTTCTCTATAGCCGACTGCTCTGAAGCCAGTGGGGTATTTCTGTCCTGGGGTCTGACTCTTCCCCATCATCCCTAGCACCCAGAGCTCCACATCTCTTATGAACAGCCAAGAGCTGCTTCCTCATGAGAATAAATTGTCCTTTGGGAACATCTCATTTCCATCTGCCCCCTTGGCTGCCTGCCCAGAAAATGTCATCTGGGGCTCAGGCTGTTCCTGAGGAGCTTGTTTTGTTCCCCAGCTTTCCCTCAGTGTTTACAGGCGACACTCACCAGCTGTTCCTGTGCTCATTT